CCAACTGATAAACCAGTGAATCCACCAGAGCCAGAAAAGCCTACAGAATCATCAAAACCTATTGAACCATCTAAACCAGAAAAACCAACTGATAAACCAGTCAATCCACCAGTAACTCCATCAGAACCAGAAAATCCACTTGGTCCAGTCACATCTGAAGAACATACTGAAAACTCAGAAATTTCAAATTTGGATGGAGCGTTATCAGTCACCGCTACTCTTTTTATTGGATTACTTGCTCTTTTGATATAATTCATTTCATGGTTTTAATGTTATTTAAAACGTGTTTTTTGAAATGTTATATCTAAAGTGACTTCCCTAAGGTGTGCAAGTTAAAATTTTTAGTCTTTTTTACAGGGAAAGGGCGTGCAAGACTAAATTTTAGTTGAAAAACATTTTATTAAAAAAATGTTATTAGTTTCCAAATTGTTTCAAAAAACACACAACCCTTTGGTGCTTGAATTAATAAACTACAAAAAGCAAATTAAATTATAAAAATTGGGTTATGGTTTGTCTATGTGTTTAATGTAAAAACAATTTTGTTTCAAGACGTGAATAAATGTCGATGTCTCTTGTGTCAGCGTAATTTAAAGCGACAAGAAGAAGTATGATAAATATTATGTTTTTCTCTGTGCCATTTTATAGCAAACAATAACAAATAGTCTGTTTAATAGGTGCAGTTCATTGTTACAAATCGATGTGTACTGTTGTCCAGAACTGGTCCTTCGATAATTTCCATTGGGTCGCTTTCCCGAAATTGTTGCTTAATTAATTGTATTCGAAGTGTGAAAGTTAAAAATTGCAACGTCACAAGGTGTGCAAGTTAAAGTATAGTTTAGTAATAACTTCGAAATTATAATTAATAATTAAACTAAAAATAATCTTTTTTTTCAAAATTTCAAAAAATTAATGATTCTATTTTTTTAATAAAAAAATTATAAATGAACTATACCTTAACTTGCACACCTTGGGAAGTCACTTTATATTACTTTTTTAATGTTTTAAAACAAATATTCTAAATGTTATAATTGTCGAAATGTATATTTTTTATAAATTGAATATAAATATTTGATAAATAAATTTTTAAATATACAAATAATATATTATTTAATACAATATATTCAAGTTATGTTTAAAATGGAAATTAATATATAAAAACATTTATGTTCAGGTTTATTATTTAATATGACTTGACTTGTAATTAAATAACGTAATTGAATTCACTTTAAGTTATTATTTTATTTAAAAATACAACAAATAATCAATTATAATTTTCAAAATAAATGATTTAAATATTCATTAATATAAAATGTTATAAATATTTTATTGATAATTATAAATACAATTGAATACGTTTGTTTTAAGCAAATTCAGCTAAAAATGTATCTATTTGTCGAAAAATGTAACAGTTTTTAATAAATGTTGTTTTAAAATAATTACATTTAATTCAAAAATGTTTCATATCCAAGATTGAAATATTTAATTGTTGTTTATCTGAACAATTGATAGGTTATGTGACAAATAAACTTTAAAAAATAACAAAACACAAAGTGGAATACATCTTTATATGTTTTATTACCACGTATAAATTGTTATTTATAAACACTACAAATAAATATTTTATGTACAAATAACTTTTGATGTATACATATAAAGAGACTACCAGAAAATAGTCATACAAGTAGTTTTAAAGTATTTTTCTATTTTTTGGTTTTATTATCTTCAAAATGATTTTTTTGATAATTTGGTGAATTTTGATAGTGAATAATCATATTTTTATATTAGTTTGTAAAATACAAATGAAAGAAAATTTGGGTGACAGGAAAAAATAATGATTAAATGATGTAAAAAAATGGAATCTGGTTTTTATATTTATAATTTTTTCACAAAATAACAATTTCTATAAAAGACTTATTAAATTACTTAAAAATAATCTGTCACCCAATTAATTACATTATCTGTACTAAAACTACAAATTTCACAACAATTTTTAAATAGTTTTTAAACATAAATAATTTTTCATTAAATTAAATTTTTTGAATAAAGATTAAAATTTATATAATTGACATTTTAATTTTAAAGTTCGTAACTTTAAATTTAAACAACAATGACAACATCAACAAAGTTAAATACACAAAATGTCATAAGTATTGACTGGGGTACTGATACTATAAAAGTAGCGAATAAAACTCCTTATTCGTGGAAAAACATATATTTTCATATGAAAGGTTACAACACTTATGAACTTAAAAATTCCATTCAATTTTATTATGGACAAATCATTTTATTTTTAGACGCTCAAGTTTGTTTCAAATTTATATATCGAGTTCAACAAACAACTTACTAATTTTTAATAATATAATCAAATGAATTTTTAATATAATTATGTGTAGGTTAATTAAAACAAAACGATAAAATTTATTTTATTATAAAATATAGTTAATATTTTTATATATTTTATCAATGATGTTTATTGTGAATGATTTTAATACAACGTTATATGTTCTTAAATTAAATAAAAATTTAGTTGGTAATTTATTTTGAAAATATAATAAATTCAAAATATATAAAATTGAGTTGATAACTAATTAATATTAGATTAAGACATGTTAATTATAATATATAATATAATAATATTCAATCATATATAACCAAAGTTGTAATAATAATAATTTAGAGTTCAAAACCAGAAGTTAAATACTATAAAGGTATAACTGGTGAAAATAAAATGTACGACATGGGTCCTTATGGCACT